ACAGGCATTAGCCACTTCATAGCTTTCAATAACTGACATGAAAAAATAGCAATGTGAGGTGCACAAAGTACCCGTGCTTTGCAAAATAACTATTGAAAAGACTTAATAGTTACAGTAGACTAATACCTAACTTGCACAGTAAGTGATATAAAAACACTATGCCTGTAAGTGAACAATGTCAAGATTGATTTAGAGGAGTTCATAAAAGCATCTGGAAGGCATTGAAGTCCATGATCTATGCAGACAATGTGTTATGATCCATTTTGAGTTACCTATGTAAAGGGAAGACTTGTGTTTTGGGAGACTGTCATCAATGAAAGCTGTCCCCAGAGTATATAGTGGCGTTCCTCCAACTCCCAGCAGCAGCTGTCCCAGGATGAAGACATACAGATAGTTGGGAAGCGATGACTTTGTGCTGGCACTGCAAGTGAAGTTAGCAGCACTTCTTCCTGGAATTTGACATGTGTCTGAAAGACAGAGACAGCAAGACTTTGAAGTTCTGTTACCCCGTTCACAGTCCCACCGAAGAAAAACCTATAATGAAAGTTAAACTACATATGAAATGCTGTTAGTGACAGGCTCCCATTCCAATTTTCAGGTCTACTAATATACCCTGTATGACAGTGCTCTTAACTTCTGTGATATCATCTCCCCCAAAAGAAATGCTATCACAGCTTGGTTTTTGTTCCATTTCCAGGCAGGAAAGATGACTGAAATGGCCTTATTAAAACATTTTGGCTCATTGAAAGCATTTTTGACAAGAGGTATGCAAAAGTGTCAAATGGTCATTCAACAGGTTAGTGAACACCCATAGGTAACCGACACTTCATTATGTCCTTGTACCTTACAAGGACTCTGAGGAGCACCAACAGTTTCCAGTCTTAAGTGTCCCATTCAGGCTGCCTGAACAACCTGAGAAAACGTACAGTCAGGAGCCACACGGAAAGCTAATGCTTGCTTCGCAAACACTGTTGAGAAGCGCTTCCCTAAACAAAAGGCCCACAACTTAAGGAAACTTACACACCTCAGAGCATACACCTATCTCCAGAATGAGAAGTTAATTCTCTCTGTACTTGTCCACACACACAAAGAGGGAAGCAGAGGTAGAACAGCCTAAGGTTGCATCTGCTCCTGTAATGTTTGCCACCACGAGGAGGGAAGAGAAAAGAGGAAGTAAAGACAGGGAGTATGTCTTCTCCTTCCTCTTACTATCATCACACTTTTACTAGCAGACAGTCCCAAGCAACAAGAGAAAAAATGGCATCATGGTCCTCTACGTTTTTATTCCAACCCTAAGGAATAAACGCACCAGTGTGGTGAAAACAAGCCATATTGAGCAAATACATGAAAACACGTTTCAGATCTGATGAGAAGACTGATTAATTCTCAATAATCTGCAACAAAATATTACCTCATTTTTCCCAGGTCCTTTAACAACATGTTTTTCTTAAGCAAACAAACAGCAAGCTTGTCCCCACTTCAGGTTCACAAGACATAAAACACAAGGAAGTGCTTGCCACGCAGCAGATACGTCAAGAGAACGGTCTACACTAATAAATGCATCCATAGGCTTTATGGCTTCCTCCAGAAGGAACACCACTGTAGTCGTGGTGGAGTCATGCAGCACACAACAGGTGACGCAGTGCTGTTGCACAGAAACTGAGCAGTGTACAGCAGTGAGAAAACTTCATTTCCAGAGGAGGAGTTGTTAAGATTTTCCTTCCTTTCCCTTTAGGAACTATCCTCATTTTAATGCTATACTGAGGATGCATGGGGATCATTTTATTATGAATCACTATTCTGAAAAAAAAAAGGGGTTTAGACAGTATTTTCCACTTATTGTCAATCTTGTTTCTTTAGGGTTTTGGGTTTTTTGGGTTTGTGGTTTTTTTAACAGGAATAAAGTCTTAAATCAGGTTAACTTTGTGCTATTTAGATGCACAGCATCTAAAACTGGCTATAGAAGGACATTATGTCCTACATTATCTTGCTCACCTACACGTATTTGTAAACAGCGTCTTTAATATATACCTGCAGTTACAAATTAGCCTCTAATACCTATTGGGCAAGCCTAAAAACATTTAGCTAATTTACTGTAGTACACAAATAATAGTATCTTGTTAAAATATATACATCAAAACACAAGTAATGAAGAACAAGAAAACGCCATGAACAATGTTAAATTATAAAAGTGTAGCCTAATTAGAGACCTAGAAATAGCTTCATGAAATAAGCAATTACCATGTTAATGGCAACCAAACTCTGACAGACTGATTCTTCATGCACCTCCATCCTCACCACCAATGTCTCAGTTCACATCAATCTAGAAGCTCATGCCACTGTGTAACTGACTGATTATAGCTTCTCTCCATCAGTTTTCTAGCTCTTCAATTTATATGCCCTAGAAAAATTTATCCTGACACTGAGATAATCTTATAACACTAGTTTGTTTTTGGAAACAAGTAATCCGGTCTAATGACAAGAAATACTACCATCAATACACACTTTAATACAATTATAATCCTTTTGCATGCATCAGCCACCAAACCTCTTGTTTTAAGGTCAGCATGTACACGTGCACTTGCTGAGGGGAATCATGAACCATATTCTGTGTTTCCAAGAAACATTTTAAAAGCAGAGGTGATTTACCACAAAGCAATAGTATTAGTTTAATCCAGCATGTCAAAACTGCCATCAAACAGGATGTTATCTCAGACATTTATGTCACTGCCTTCTTGTACCAGTCCATGGTTTAAGCAGGTTGGTAAAGTGACACAGGTTAAATCTAACCTGGATTAGATCCACAAGACTGTTTGCTATTGTCAGAAATCAGAAAGAAGGCACAGTCTTTTACGTGATCAAGAAAGTCTAACCAGAGATAAGCCACGCTCTGGGAGAACCATAATATGAGTGGCTGACCATTTTTAACTACCTTATCTCATAAAACCTGTGTTCCCTTTTAAAAGCCAATGCCTTAGACTGGCATTTTAAAGAGTTGCATTAAAGGCAACACCATCCAACAGTCAGTCATTACAAAACTTCTTACATGCTTTAATCGAAGACATCTACCCGAGTCCAAGTTATGTAAGACCAAAATGTTCCCAAATACCTAGTGTAACACACTAGCTACAAAGGCGTAAGCAACTGTGAGATACTTTAGCAATTACATTAATTAGAAGTAAGACAGGTCAAGACTAGTTTTACTGACATCTTCAACTGCAGCCAGTTAGGCAGAGGTTTTGGGTTTTTTTAATCTTTTTTGGGGCAGGGAACAGTTTAAAGAGTTGAGGAGTAAGAAATCGAGAACAGCTTGGTTTCTATTCTTTTTTGAACTTAATCTGTCTTCCCCTCAAGTCTCAAATGGGAAAGTCACTCAAAGCTCTAATGAACATGCTGAATGAAGTCCAAGTTCTTAGTTTCTAAAGGCGGATATTACAATATTACATAACATCTAAGTGGTATAGAGAAACATACCAAGCAGTGCAGAGAACAGCAGCACTATCCACTATCTGACTCATCAGATAGTCTTTTCAGAGCACAAAACCCAGAGGAAAACCACAGAGATAATGATGGTGCAAGACAAACAACAGTCACATTAGAGGCTGGCATCACACATATTCTGTTCCCATTATTCAGTTGTTGTTAACTGCCACAGACTTCAGTCTTTAATTATCCTCAGCATGTTCTGGGAAGGAAGATCAATTAATGCCCTTCTGAGAAGACTACCCTACCTCTCAAACCCTAAATGACTTATCCCCCACCTGAATTTCCAGTAGAAAGGGAACTGAAGAAAGGTGTTCAAGTCATTCTCCCTCTTCACCGCACCACAAATCACACCACACACATCTCAGCTCAAATGGCTAAGGCTTGTTACTTCCGTTTTCCAAAGACATCATTCACATCCTGTTACTGAAGAGACTCGTGGAATAGTTGGCAGAAGCATCAGGGAGTCATGTAGTCTAACCTCCTAATGCAGACAGTGTCAAAACCGCATGCAGACCAAGTTGCTCAGGACTTTACTCAGCAGAGTCCTGAAACTCTGTGGAGTTAGACTGCACAGTCTGTCTGGTTCATCTGTTCCTATGCTTGACTGTCTTCACAGAAATTACCTTCCTTGTACCAAGTGAAGATCTATCTTTCACATTTGCAGCAACAGACATCTTTCATAAATTTAAACATGTTTCAATAACATCCGAGAGGGAAGTTTAAAAGTACGCTGTTGATGTCATTTGCAGTTTTTACAGTCCTCTGTACTGCCTCGGGAGAGTCAAATACAGAACGGTTTCATTACAGACAAACCACTAGATGGGGCTCCCGACCCAACTGAGACACCAGCAACCCTACGTAAGCTAAAAGTTATGAGAACAAATAGCTATTTACATCTAGGCTACAAATTTGAGTCTAAAGCCTCCCTGGAGATTAGGCAAGACATGTTTGCTGTGGCTAACAATTTTTGTACGTAGGTAGACCATTGGTTAGCTATTCTTCCAACAGGAAATGGATTAAACTATTTCTAAAGAGTGCTATTACGGTACTTCCATTGGAATAGTTTTGTAAAGTAGGGTATGTATACATCCAGAATAAAAGTAAATTAATATCTCAAAACAGTAACTTCCAGGAAAACTGTAAGCTAGATATATTTTGTATTCCAGACAAGATATATTAATTAACCTGACTGCCATATTAAATATTGCTCTGGACTACACTTTGGATTGGTCCCACAGGTGAAACTCACTGTCCTCACACATAGCAGATGAGCATAAATAATCAAGTAACGAACTATGAACTGTTCAAAAGTAAGTGGTAGATTTTAATACAAAGCATCAAAGACTTTACTCCCAATACATTAAAATCTCCGAACCACACATCCAAACAAATAAAAAACAAGGAAGATTTTTTGGGGTGTGGTGCTACTAAATTCTGCAACGAAGTGTAGAGTTGAGATGTTTCATCAACATCAGAACTAGCTAAACAAGCCATCCTATAAAACCATGTGCTGTGATTAACTGCTAAAGGATGCCATTGCACAGCACCTCCAGATTTACATCGAGTCTGTCATGGTGCAGACATTCCCCACACTCTGTAGTTGTTCATCTTTGATAGTGTTTTGTTTAAGTCAGCCTAAGTCCTTATACCTGCTCACCTCGGTCACAGCACAGGTACTTGTATTACAGTAGTCAAAACAACATGCATTCAGTCAGCTTACAGCACCATAGAGCAGAAAGAATATGTTCCACCTACAGCTTTGAGATTTCAAAGTCCATGAAGAATATGACCCCTAATAAGGTATTAAGACCTACAGCATCTTTAGCAGTCAATGAAATGGCAGATGTTTCATCAAACAAGCTGAGATTCTTGGCTATTTAATTCAAAACTGGTAGAAGGGAAGATCCGTTGCAATAGCTGGCCATCTCCCTTCATTCTCACATCCTGCCAGTATCTTGTTTCAGTAAGAACCCTAGAATCAGGTTGGAACTTCTTTTTTTAAATCAAATCAATGTTCCCTTCCATACTAGTAAAGTAGGGAGGGCAATACTGAAGCTGAAATTGTAGAGAAACAGCACTGTGATAGGGCCAGGAGCAAGTAAGCTGTTGCCCTTCCACTAAGGGGTAACAAGTAACCACCTTCTCATAGCTTACAAACAGTAAAGAGTTTTTCTTCTTTTGGCCTTGTTCAATTAAAAGTTCAATCAGCTTCTGCCTCAGATCCTCATTGATTAGATGGGGAATAATAGCTCAGACATTTAAGTAATTGTCAATGTCTGGACAGTTCAAGGAAGTGTGTGAGCGGATTAACACTTAAAAAAAAACCAACCCGAAGACTGAGAACCTTCCATCAGATTGCTTAACAGCTACTGATTTTTACAGGAAGCACTCTAATATGCTTAGTCATTGAAGGCATAAATCTGATTAAACACTGCAACAACAATTAGTACAATCCTAAAAGATTAAGCCACCCTGCATTTAACATATTTGGATGTTTATTAGTTACAGGTGTGTCGCTCAGCTGAGATGCAAATAATTGGCATTAAGCACTGCACTTAAGTCTTGTTCTACAACAAAAGATAGATGAGGTCTGACAGCTGGGTGCTCCCAAAACTTCAGTACAGCTTTGTTCAGTACAGTTCAATACTGCTTGTCCCCTCTTTATTCCAAAGAAACCCAAAAGTTTTAATCAACATTTTAGAACTTAGTGGAACTTGTTAATGAATTACTTAAGATGCCTTTAATAGTCCAACACCCAGGAGAACTGCAACATGTAGTCACCTTTCAAGAAGATGACAGGAAGTCTAAACAGCATTCCTTTAACATTTATACTACATCACCAACCTAACTTGCATTCCTATTCAAAGAAAAGCCAGATCACTTATTACTCAAAGTGAACTTTAATTGCATTCATCAATAGAAGTCAAAGGCTACATTTTATTCAAATGTTGCTTATGATCAAGAACAGATAAGGACACTCAGATCTCCTGAAAAAGTTCACTGTACAGAGACACACAGTTCCTGAACTTACGGATTTCACAGAACCACTTTATTTTCCGTATTAGAGACAATACCCTATTTTTAGGGCTTTGACAGAGATTAACTAGGATGTACCAAATTGAAAGTTGCACCAAGTTGTAACACAGACCTTTTTTTAATCATTTTCAAAATACAAGGATAAGCTTACCTTCGAGTTTAGCTCCATAGTGGTATTTTCCACTACTGAAGTGTGGTAAGGAAAATATAAGTGAGCCCAATCCTAGCATAAATGCTGAGAAAGCAAGCCATCGTGGTTTGTGCCCTCTTTCTCCAAAGAAAGACACGAACAGTGACAGTATACAAAAAGCAATGTCATAGCTTGAAGAGATTAAGCCAGTGAGGGAACTGTTCAACTCATAACGCTTCTCAATTGTTGAAATACTGACATTAATCAGGCCATTTACCACAATACCTACAAAAAAAAAAAAATATAATTAGTCAAAGATACTTTAATTTGACAGAATTGCAAGGGTAAACTTAGCATTGTGTGATGGAAGGGTTAAAGTTAATATATTTACAAAGCTACATTTTAAGGTACTTACTGGCTTTAAAATCCAGGTGTGTAGTGGATTCACATAGTGCCCACTTAAGTCAGCCAAACTGCACAGGACTTACTCAAATTTGTTCTCTCCTGTGGGCACTAAAGTTGGCATACTGAAGTATTAAGCCAGCAAAATACTACACCCCAAACTCTGTTCATGTATCAAGGTTCCAGATTCAGTCTGGAGCACAGACAGGTTTCAAACAGAATGCATTACAGTGTCGTAAGATACTTTAGAAATTTAAAGGCAATTAGTCAAGGTTATGAATGGCATTAGAATACAAGCTATGACTGAAGCAAGCTCAGGACATAGCTAATGACTGTCAAACACCATTTCCCCCTGCCATCACAAAGGGAACATATAAAAAGGCTTTGGAACAGGCATCTTTCCCCTCTAAGATAAAAAGGTGTAAAGCTACTTAAAAATACTTTTCAATTGTTTCAGAGCAACTGAGGTGGTTAACCAAGAAAAAGTTGGCCCTCTGAATCTTGAAGTTCCCTGAAACAGAAGTATCAGACAACCTGGGGAAAAGGCCCTACTTAAGCACAGGGGAACTCCCAAGAAACAGATCCAAAAGTAGAAGCAAGCAAGCTGCAATTGTCAGTGCATGCTTATACACACTGTCCATTTTTACAAGTGTTGTTTGTAGGCAGTAGCTGCAATCTCCTATCCTGCCTCACATTCTGTACGTGAAAACATCAAGTAGTTAAACTTAGAGTTTGCTTTTAACAGACCCAAAACAGGATTCTGTTAAAAGTGATAAATAGGTGTGCTTGGTTACAGTACAGGTAACTTCATGGTAGTCTAGTTAAACTGTGCCCATAATAAAATATACACCCTGTGTAAAAGGCTTGGAACTCTTGGAGTCACAGTTGAAAGAAAGTTCTATAAGCTGGCAGATGAGTGATGAGCATCTCTCCTGACACAGGCCCTACAGTTAACCTTCCTCTATCTAAAATTCAAACATGACTCTCTACTGTCATTCCAAGCACAAGAAGGATGACTGGGGACAGCAGTGGGTTTAAGTTCATTTTCAACAAGCCTTGCACCAACCAGAAGTGCAGCTACACAGCCTGAACTCCAACAGATCTGCCTGGAGTGCTCTACACACTGAGAAAAGTGGTTCCCTATCTGTGATCAACCAGCTGTTTTCTTATCAGTGCAATCCCCATTGTAACTACGCTTCAGCTTCCCCTGGGGAGGCAGCTCTTGGCACAATCTTCATTTTCTACTACCCGACCACGGCCTCTTTGTTAAGGATGACAATTTCACCTGTCAGTCTGACAACCACAAATTCATGTGGGATTAGTAGAAGTATTCAGGTGTTCCTCCACTGCCATTCTTTATACATTTGGCAGCTTTCTTCTTAAGGAGCACTGACCGAAGAACAATACTAGCATGAAGGAATGAACAAACAAGTTTCTCATTTGCCAGCGCTTCAAACATTTACTAAGGCCTCCTGACCTTCACATGAGGTAGGTGTGCTATGCAGCAAGCTGATTACAGAACTAGAAGACATTGTCTTTTACCTGTAGTTTAGATTGTCACCTTTAATTTGCATCCTAAAAGCCAGAAAACCTTGCAGTTGGCATTACTGGATAATTAGACTTCATCTGTTAAAAATGTAGAAGTGCTGAACAGCAGCATAACTTCCACAGTGACATCATTTTGTGATTGATCACTAAAGTCTCTTCAGGAAAGATGGAAGCTGGCTGATACTAACCAGATCTGAAAAAACAAATCCTATAGGGACAACTCAACACTTAAACAGTAGTACAGAGATTTTGGAACTATTCTCATCCAGAGCTTCACTGTCCTGCCACATCTGCCACAGGTTTAGGTACAGTGTGTACTGACCCACAAAATCCAGATTAATCATAAACCAAGTTCATCAGCTCTAACAAATAACAGTATTTTTTTCTTCATCCATTTAACCAAAAAACGTACTCTACACTTGTTACAAACATGGTGGCTTTAAAGCGGTGGTTTGCAGGCACCCAATTAAAAGAGGAAAAAACAGAAATAGATCTGGTACTAAAAAGTCTTGTAAATTAATCAGGGCATAAAATATTAGTGTTATCTGAAGTTTTCAGACAGATGAGACTAAACCAGTCTCAAACAGTGTTTCTGTTGTTTTACTAAACAAAATTATTAGTGACATGAGGAATAAACAGTCCTTCCTGTACTCAAAGCAGAGAGATAACATCTACCTTGTTTGCAACTGCAGGTACGAACCGTGGCATATTCAGTTACAAGATGCAATCATACATTTATGCAACTTTAAGTGCCATACAGAAAGGAGGTATTAGTCATGTAACAATATTCTACACAAAGTAGTGTTTTCCATTCTGGAAATACAGGTTTCACATGTACTTGAAACAGAAACAGCCAGAAATGAAGGGTTAAGTTAAGCAAGTAATGTGCTAATAGTAACAATCTCTTCTCTAGGGCAGCTGGAAAACACCTAATACATACCTTCAGTTAGGTACACACATGCAAAATCTGCACACATGCTCCAGGTCACTGCAGACAACTACCTACTATCTTCACTCAATGTGTAAAACTTCTAGAATAACAGTTTTCACGTATACATGATATTAAGGATTACTTCAGTATTCTTCTAGGAAAATAACCTTTCCTAGAGGTGCATTAGCAAGTTTTATAGACCTACTTTATCTTCCTCAGTTATGGTTTCTGTAATTTGGAGGGTAATTCAAACAATTAGACCCAAAGCTAGAGTGCAGTAGTAGCGCATATAACTTCACAATCCCACTTGTCTTTTGTGTGCTCTTATCTAAACTCTGAGGCTGCAAGACCCGAACACTCTTGCAAAGTCTCACATGCAGTGCTGAACTGCAGTTCTGAAAATGATTCTTGGTTTTTCTGCTTCTCAAGGCAAGCTGCAACATTAGCCTTCGGTGCCAAATTTCCCTTCCACTACCTAGCCAAAGAAGAGGCAATTGTTCAGAAAATCCAGATAAGACATCCTTAAGAATGCCAGAAGGTCTGTAATAGCCATGCCTAGATCAGCTTTCAGAGGAAGTATCAAAAGTTACCTTACGTTAAGGTCCTAAAATCGAGCTAGGTTAGACAGGTACCTCTGAGATTTGGCATAAATCTGCAGTTAGACAACAGGACCAAGACCTGGTTAAGTGGCATAACCAGCACCCATATCACCCCAAGGAGACAGATTTTTATGATACAAGACCTTTTTATGACTGGGAACATATCCACACTAATAAGGGAAAATTCAAATGACACTGCATTCATTATTCAGCTGAGCTACCAGGTCAGCAGAGCAAACTGAATTTTAATAAACAGTGACAGCAAATTTAGAAGTGCTGGAAATATTCAAACCACTAATTTAGTGAAATAGAATCTGAAACTTTGCAGTGTCACATTCAGGGCATTTTTGGTTGCCCATCTCTACTCTTACATTACAAAAAACATACACACATGATCTAGAAGTCTTTATTACTCAGCTGCAATTGAAATCTGCTATGTAATAAGTTCTTCCAGCCCTCCCTTTTTTTTCCTGTGTTAGAGAAAGTAAATTTGAGCTAACAACAGGGCAACTGCAGCAATCAACTCCTGCTCTCACCAGCTGTCGGGTGGCCTTTCAATTACAAAGAAGTACAACAGGCTCTGCCCGAAACTCTCCAGATACTTCTAATGCAACACCTGTACACTAAGAAGAAATCAGATTGTAAGCAGCTCAAAATCCGAAAGAGTCCACAGAAACACATACTGAGAGACATTGGTTCTTCTAAGGATTTTCCAAGTAACACAGGTAGCTGTCAGATCCTTCTAGGTTTTAAGCAGAACCTCCTGCTCAGCGGTACTCAGACCACCCCAGTTAGCTCAGGTAGGTTTCCAGGCAGGAACGCAGCCATCCATAACCCACATGTTTTTGATGTAGGCTGCCTGTTCTTCTAGCACTGGATCTCTTCTACATCTCTCCCTACCCCTCTACAGAAATCTCATTCTTTTTCAGCAACAAGGACAAGCTTTAAATCCTCATAATTTTTCAGGAAACAGAATTTTCTTTTCTAGCTAGTCTAATAAAGTTGAAAGATTCAGCACATTAGTCCAATTGCTCCATTAAACGGACAAATATCTAAGTTCTACAAATCTCAAGTTTCTACTTTCGGTATACTAACGATCCCCCTCAGGTATTATTACTGCTCTCTAAGCCTAAGGCTTCCAAGGCCCTAACAAATGTTACAGAAAACCAAATATATGGGCAAGAATATCTGAGGCTGAACAACAGAAATTTAGGAACATGCTAAAGTTCAGGTTAAATCACTAGTTAGGTGTTAGAAATAGGGCTGCACTGGGATCAACAGAACAAAATCAGGTTTTTTTAAAGACATCCTAATTACCAAGTCCCACCCAACCACGCCAAGGTACCTTTTTAACTGACAGGCAGGTAACAAAGCACATGCTGGGGCACTACAGTTGTGTCTACTGGTTTATATCATGTATTTTTTTCCCCTGGCTCATATGCTTCAACCTGCCAGGTACACCCAGAGCACTATTTCCCTGTGCACAGTGGGGATACAGCGCAGGCAAGAGCGCAAAGCAGAGAGTTGATGGAGCCATGGACTCGGTTCAAATAAGTAGGCAGGAAAAGAAGGAAAGGAGCAAGACAGTGGAGAGCAATACCGTATGAGCAACTTCCCTATGCAGCACACTAGGGTACTTTCTTCCCCTAGTGAAACCACTAATGTCACCCTTCAGCAACAGCACCAGACTAAGGCAGCTGGATGAACCCGGACACCCCTTCCCCACCACCCAAGTCACGGCCACTTCTCCCCCACCTTCCCCGGCTCAGGCTCCTGCCCGGCCTCCCCCGCGGCTGCGGGATGGCAGGCAGCAGAAGGCCTGCAGAGGCCGGGCCCCACAGGGAAGGTGGGAAGGAGGGCAGCAGGCCTACAGCTCTGGACAAGGTGGCAGGGACGGGTTACCTTGGAAGATGGCCAGGAGGCTGTAGGCAGCCAGGTAGCCCTCAGGGTTGTTGCAGAGCTGCAGAACCTTAGGGGCGCAGGGGCCCCACCCGCAGGGCCCCTCCTCAGCCTCGGCTACTACAGCGGGGACGGCGGGATCCGCCCCGGCGGGGCGCGTCTGGGGC